TCTCTCGAGAATAACTTTTAATATCGTTATCTAGTAATAAAATTATCAAAAATTAATGAGAGAGATTTTACTACCTTTTACATTCCACCCTCATTATATATTATAGCAGGTGATTGCCCGTAATTTCCTGAAATCACTTAACCAATAACATCTCAAAGCGTCTAGCGGAGTCATAGCTGCTCTTCAACGCGGAAGGGTTCAGTCTCAAAGGGCAAATCGATCTCGCCACAAAACCGATAATCCGGCCTCCTACCCCGTCAAAGTAAACGAACATCACATACAAGGCGTCTTACCAAGCACGATCTGATCCTTCTTCCCCCCTCCCCCATACACCCCTCTTCGTGTGCTTCTACCCCGCGGAGGTCTCCACGTGACCACGCGTTTACACGAACCAGCCCTCCACCTCCCCGCAGTCACCGAGCTTCCCCCGATTGAGAGTGCGACCGACCGCCATTACGTTATACCTGGTCTCACACTCGTCGTATAGGAGAACCTCGGCCGCTCGGGTTAATATCAGTGCAGCTGCAGCTGCATCGCTGTACTACTATGCGCGCCAAGATACAGGCCTAGGGGGTCAGCAGGCGAGAGGGGAGATACCGAGATGTCGTGGAGGAGGGGTCTACGACATTGCCTACCGTCTGGTTTCCCCGGTTCTTGCCGCCTGTTTACAATCCTGGAAGACCGAGCCTGGTACACACCGCTAGTACCCCGCCAGGTAAGGTAGCCGTTGCCGGTTTGGTACTTGACGCGGTTTACAACGCCGGACCGGACGATGTACCGCGTCGGAGAAAAGCCACGACGAGGTTCAGGGCACTAAAAGGGCTTGCCTACGAGGAGAGCATCGGCTGGCTACCAGCTCGCCAGTGGAATGGAGAACAAGAACGTATATACGGATCGCGGGTTTACGGTTACGGGTGATGATGCCTCGATTATTCGCACGAGCTTCCGATACCTCTATGATTTATTGGAAACTCTCTGTCGAGCAAGTTATGACGATCATTATACTGGTCAGCAAATAGATTGTTAAATACGTATTACATTATTTACTAGCAATTATCTGTTATTATTAGGAAAGTATGGAGCACATTCTGAAATTATAGGATCAATAAGTCATAGTTGACCTTTCGGTTAATATCTGAATTCCTAACATATGCCATTTTTTTGCAAGTACTTGAAATCTTTGTATCCTAAAGCTCCAAAGTAAGATTAAAGTGTTCAATTTCCAGTCGGTCATGAATAAGAACGCTTCTATTTGATATCAGTAAGCCGGGGATGAATCTCGGGCATGAGATATCTCGATATTTCGGAAAAATATACGGGACGTGGCAATCATCAAGGATGACTTCGTATGCAGGCGAAGTAGCCTGGAGGTGTGCGGAGATTTCGGGGCCGATAAAAAAAGAGAGGGAGTATTGGGCGGGTGAAGAAAAAGGTGGTTCGCGCAGGGAGACGTGGCGAGAATCATGTGACCTTCGATCTCGAAGGAAACCTCTGGTTCTCCATATCCGACGAGTGATGTCGTTCGTTAGCTCGTTCCACCGGCCAGCGGCTCTCAACTCGCTCTATCTGGAATTCCAGGAGGAACGGCCGAGTTACGATGATATCAATACTCGCGAGAGATACACCCGCGAGGGAGGAGCGCGCCATATCTCTCGCGATACCATTGTGGCATACCAGCCTCTACTCTACGCGAGTACACTGTCTGCTAAAAGTTCTGCGAGAAGTCGTTTAAGAAAATTGCAATTTCAGCTCTGACCCTTTAAACATAAAATTAATCGCTAAATTAATCGAAATGTCCGTTCCGGAGTTTGAAGTCGGTAAATATCGTTAAAATACTAGGTGCCGGCCGTTTCGTGTTTTATCGCTAGCCGAGCATCGTCTACAGTCTACACCAACGTCAATTTCATTCGAGTTTATTAATATTTTCCGGCCATTACGTTTCTTGTTCTTGTAAACGAAGTGCTGAAGTGTGAAGAACACCGCGTCACGGTCGAGCAATATGCTGAATATACCTAGCACGCGATCGTTATTCGTTTACACCGCTACCGTAATCCGCGGCGATTAGGCGCGCTTATCTGCGACGGAGCAGAAAATCGAACGCGTTGCCTTAAATAGCGATTCCAAATTGCGCTGAAATATAAACACCGTTTTCCCGTGAAAAAAAAAGAGTATTCCCACACCGGATGAGCGCGTCCAATATGATGTGCTTGTTACCTCCAACTCCCGTATCGCTATTGCGCCCGCGCCGGAGAAGATAAAAACCGCCGCGCCGGAATTCCATGTGCGTCACGTTTTCGCCGTGCGTTTTGAAATTCGAAGCAGGTTTCGGTTCCTTCCAGGAGCTACATTAGCCCAGGGGGCAGAACCGCGGCTCGTCTCTTCGCGGTATTGTTGCTTTCGTCGACCTCTTCTCCACCTACGCGTTGGTTGTGATATAATTCGCCACACGCGTCCCCGAGATTCTCGGACGCGCGGGATATCCATACCGTAAAGACCGTACCACGTCTCTCGTCGCCTTGAACTTAAGACACCGCGTATACCGATAGAAGGACCTCACGCGTGTCGGCTTGTATAAGCCTCGTACGAGCTCTCGCGCTTCTAACGAATGTGCACGCTTACGCCAGTGGCGTAGAAGAGAGTACCGTTGCTTCATTTGACATTATATTATGTCACGATGCATTAAAAGTTTATTAATTAGCTATCAAATGTGGATATCAATATAGGATCTGGAATTATAATGCAGTTAACGCTCGAAATTCGAATTAATTATGGAATTACTTGAATAATTGTAATTTGATATTTACACGTTTAATAAATAAAGCTTTCGTGTTTATTATGTTGTAATAACTCTTACTCATCCAACTGTCTTTGTTTTTGCAACCGTTTGCTCTCTAATCTTTTTCATTTCTCTTTTTTAACCATCGTTCTATGGCGGATATGATGTAGTATTTTTACAACACGGCCGGTGAGCAATTATGGAGTTTTTCATCGAAGAGAAGAGAGCAATGACGATCGTCTGCCGCTCGTAAGCGTAATGAGTCCGCGTTACTAATGATCGTACGTTTGTAATCATGTCGAAAGACCGGATGCCGCCGGACTCGCCGATCAATCGATGATACTTGCGACGACCTTGGCAATTACCACGAACCCGTTTATGGCCCTCTGACATTTTTCAAGCACGAAATGTCACTCGATCGCTATCATTAATTTCGCCATAATTTTGAGCAGGCAATAGCGGGTGTTTCGGAGCAGCGCGATATTTCAGAGAAATGTCGCTTATATTCAATATAATTTTCTTCCTAACAAACTTGTTACAACAGCAAACGTGTTCTCATTCAATTAACTTTTTGTGTTAAAGTTTTTAGGATGGATTAATTTGTGTTTCAAGACCGACAAATAATTGGCGCGCAGTTTGCTAAGTTGGAAAAGGTATAAACAAAATTTAGCTACCAAGATCTAGCCCAACCGAAGATGACATTTTCTCTATTTAATTGTAAGATTCATGACAATCCAATTTTACTTATTATTATTGGATTAATTTATACTATTAACAAATGTTATCCTACAGATTATCACAATTACACATAAGTTAAATTGAAAGTTTAAACGCAAAGACACAAACAAACCGGGCGGAAATGATGCTAATAACGTTTAACAAGTTTTTGCCAGTCCAATGGGTAACCACCCTTGTGTTAAGCGGTCTGAGGACGTTCGCGTAAGCCAAGGATTACGCTTCCTGGACGCTTACTCCGGCGGCGGCGGTCCTAAGGTAACGACAGGATTAATCCCTTTCCGACGAAGAGTGTGCCGCATCAAAGCGGAACGACCGCATCCGCCGGTTTTACCGGAGGAAGTCGTGCTCTTCTGCCTGCACTCTCGGCATGCACCTCTCGTGTCTGACGCACGTTCCTCTCCATGTCCGGCAACGTTCATCCTCCCGTCGACACTCACGAGCGTCAGATACGATACAAGCGCGTGCTGGAGACGCGCGTATAGGTACGTTCGGTTCCTCTCCTCGTGCGCGAGCGTGACATAGGAGTACTTGGAGATACGAGAAAGGCAAGGTAAGGTAAGTAAGGCTCGTGCCCTGCCCGCGCGGTGACTGAACCCACACAGCATTTCACGTAAGGAGCGCACATGCACGCGCCAATACATACGCATGGAACTGGCGTGCACACACGCCCGCCCGGTCATCGAGACATCAGAGCGAAGAACCGTTCGGAGAACCGAGAATCTCTCATCAGTTAAGATATCGACGTGCGTTTTGGATTAAAGCGCGCGGCGGAGATTTAACGTGCGCCATGGGTGGAGAACGGTGGAAGCCACTCATTAATCCGCGTTATTTTGTTATCGCGTCATCGACCCCTAGGCCGTGAGAAGGATGATTATTACTGCGAGAAAAGTAGGTAATAACGACCGCGAAATTATGCGACATTAACAGAGATATAAAATCTCTCGATGCTTGTTACAGCCTACTTATTATCTTAGATTTTTGCAGATATATTTAAAGATATTTCTATATTTAATATTATATGCATTATCTTATTATAAATTATATAAATAAAATTATGTAGTAACGTCATCTTTTTGTGAGTCGCTATCAACATTCCTACAAATGTTTTTCTTGTTCACGCGTGACAGAAATTGAAAACAGATGCACGTAATCGCTATCAAGTTAAACCTCGGCTCAGCGCATCTCCCGAAGGGTTTGTTTAAGTACCAAGAAGTACGCGGAAGAGCGCGGCTGGGTGGAAGAGGGGGGAGATCTTCGTGTACGTGGAAGTGTGTGCTCTTTGCTCCAGTCTGTCATAAACCTTCCAAGAAGGAGCGTCTTGATTACGAATGTCGCGCTTAGGAGAAGTGACATATTCACGACAGACTAATCGCCGCGTTTGCGTTTGCGGAACGCTCGCGCGTATTTGTCATACCGGAGAAGCCCCGAACACAAACGGAAAAGAATACCCTATTGAAAAAAAATACCCATAAATAAAATCACGTACCTTGTCCTCGCATGACTTGTGGCAGATGTACTTGCACACTGAAATAAAACAAAATTCAAATAGGTAACATGATAATTATGGATTTATAAATAAACTTTAATCAGACGGCAAGTAATTCCGAACAAAGTTTTGTTTGCTCATTAGCACACGTTGCAAGTTATTAAAATCATCATTATTCTAAGCATTATAATCGCTTCTTCGATCCACGCGGCGCGTTAACTTACAATCACGCTAATTGCTCACTAATAGATACGAATGCCCATGATCAGTCCGACCCAGCTTTCACGCGCATACGCAAACGAGTGCACGATCGAGGGTGCATCTCTGCATTAATCGTAATAATCATCTCATGTAATCTAGATTCAGGGCAATGAAACGTAATACCAGTAATAACGCTAATAATAATAATAAAAAGAAAAATGTCGAGTTTCATCCCCGCAGCGGGCTTGCTTTAAAACCGGCACTCTCCGGAGCTTCCGTATCAACGATTGATTCGAAAGTACTACCGACGAGAGAGCCAGCTGTTATCCATTTCATTGCCCTGAAGGGAACGATGTTATCGACTTACCTCTGCAGCAGGAAGCTTGCTTGATCACCGCCTGGTGGCATAAATGACATGGTCGAGGTTTGCGCAATTGCTTGGTGCGGAACACGTGACACTGGGGTTCGAAGTCGCTCTGAAACACAGCAAGAGGAGGCTCCAATTATTGCGATGATCGTTTCGGGTGATCAAGAAAGGAAGCATCATCGACTACGACGCCATTTCGTGCTTTTTGCGACCGACTTTTTCCTCGGTACCGATCAATTAGTCGCGAGAACCTTCTGAGCGATTAACCTCGTTAAAACAGCATTATAAATGAGGAGTCTGTTCAAAGTAATCGAGGAAGAAACGCCTCGTGCTTAAAATGAGGTCGCAGACTTCAAATCTTTACTCAAGTCCTGGACATATCGTGATGAACCGTTAAATATGAATTTATCTAACATAGCTTTTATATTATTCAAATATGTATAATATTTTAATATATCAAATTAAATATTTGAAAATAAATGATTATATTAGCCTGTTGTTATTTAGTATCCTATTTTATATGAAAAGGAATTTATAATATCAATTCTGGATTAACATCAGTGTCACACTTGACACAAGAAAACAGATAAAAAGGTCTTTAACATCAAAAGGATCCAAATGAATCAGAATTTGTGGAACAATAACATTATATCTGACATAACGAACTTTTCGTAGAATAAAACGTCAGCGCGCGTTTGCAATACTACCGCCTCGCAACAAGCTCGTACGATTAATCACATAACAAATCAAGGATCAGCTCCACTTAATCACTGCTCCGAGAATCTCTCGACCGTGCGCGCTTCGCGGCAATTATAATCATTCTCATGTGTGGCTTTTCTGCGGCCGCAGATGGGAGTAAGGCTCTCGAGCGGACGGCCGGTGCATAAATTGAGAAAACAGAACAGCCATTCATTAGGATCGCGTTTATCCCCGGATACGCTGCCGGCGGGAACGCTCGCCTCTATGACTCCGGTACGACAGTCAACCTGTTAACAGTACTTATGCCGGTGCGCAGCACTCTATCAGGGGAGACTTAGTTCGCGAAGTTATGCGCAAATAAGCGCTTGAGGCGCACCGCATCTTCCGCGAAGAAGCGCGGCCGCCGATTACGGACACGCGATGCACGTGGTCCTCCCTCCTCGAGAAATACCTCGTCTTTTCACCCACGTTCCAGCAAATCCCCGCGGAGAAAAAAGCGAATTTGAATACCGAGTTACCGGTATGCTGGCGAGTCGCGCTCCGTGAAGCACGGATGAACAATTGCGTACATGCAGATAGTTCGAAAATGTACGTAGGAATGGATTCTCTTAAAGTAAAGGCATTCTACTGTATAGATACGGATTTAAAATACATAATGCTTTAAGGAAGGCTCCATAATGGATTCACAATTATTCCTTAGAGGAACTCATATTTCACAAAAAGGAGTGAAAGAGAAGATATTTCAAACTATATAGGACAGAATACATCGCAATGTACGAGCGCAGCTTCGTTATGGTCCGCGAAAGACTCGCGAATGCGTGCACTTATTCTACGCACACGCGCGTTTTCTCTCACGCGGATATTCAGCGAGTTTAATCATCGCACGTGCAACGCAGTAATAAAACGTTTTTTAACAAGTCACGTAATTGAGACGCGAGAAAAACGCGTTGCTCGAAACAGATCCTTGAATGAAATTCGTACCACTTCCCGTTGCTGTGTTAATTTTATTGCATATCAACTTTGAGAGAGAGGCGGAGAGAGGAGAGAGATCGGTAACGGATGCATCGACATGAATTACGAAGCACTGAGCTATTACCGAGAGAGATGCAATATTTCGTAACCATCACATTTATTAGCATCATGAAAAAAAACACACGCTATGAATTATTATAATATGGACTTCACGCGCGGTCTCGGAAGAAGGATCTTTTTACTGGACATTATACGCGACACGTTACGATACTTTCTTCACTCATTGTCATCGTAAATAACATCACGTGCTTATTCTTTTTATCAATAAAAACGTGCGCTTCTCCTTTGTATCATTATTCGCCGAGTGACAGTGAACTTTCATCTACAGCGTTTATGAATTTACTCTCTAGCTAATTTGTTCTCATATATAATGATAAATTGCGATATTACATACACTTTTCGTCGGCATAAAAGTGATTTGTACAATGTGAATAAATGTTACGCACACTTCGGAATAAATTTTTTGGAAATCGTATATACATCTGTTTCAAGCATAAATAATTTATTACATAATATTTTTATTTGCGACTCATATTTTTTTCTATTATATTTTATTTAACATATTTATTATATTAGTATATTTAAGAAACACAAGTAAAAATATGAAATAATCTATAATTATTGCTCGTAAGAATTTGTCAAAGACTCGAGAAGATCTATAACATTATATTTTTAAATGTAAATTTTATAATTCTGCAAATAATTCCCACGTCACCTTTCTCTCATCGGTTTCAACGAATTCAATTTCATCAGTTCTCGAAAGTCAAACGCATTATTCGGCGAGTACGTATTAGAAAAGCAATAGTCATGGTTGTATTAATTATCAATTGTTCGTGACTATTGCGCAGAAAACATTCCGCAATCCGATCGAAGTGTGCGAGTCGAGATAAAACGGCTATTTAAAACCAATGATAGATCTCCCGGCAGGCATCGATCAACAGCAGTCTTCCATCAATAGTAATTTAATTAACTTCCTTAATAATAACACATCTAATTCGTTAATTAATTACCGGATATACGGTGCTTTCCGGCAATATCGTAAGAAAATATAAAAAAAGAGTAATGACGTAGAGTAGATGTAATAATATACACTGCTGTTGAATTTAGTAACGATTATGCATAGATCTTGCTAACTAATTGCCAGATTCATTAATATCCCAGGACCTCTGACTTCATTAAAATGAAGCACCGTCATTGCTCAAACAGAATCTAATTGATCTTTAATCTTTGCAAATTGAAAGGAATTGATGGGATCTTATAAACATCATGACTTTGCCCGTCTTCTAAAACTCTCTACGACTTCTACAGCTTTTAAAATCCCTTAAAGAAAATTTCATCTTCCATCGAGTGTCCTTTTTCCCTTCAGCATTGTCTTATCCTTAAAAAACTTTATTAACTTAAATATAACTTCAATAACTTTATTTATTTCTTAAATATAATTAGAAATTACATTTTTAATATTTATTTTTCTATGTTATATTAATTTATTGAATTTATAGCTAATTTACCTTACTTTTATAGCAAAATTTAAATAAAACAAAAGCTTATAAAGCTGACTGACATTTCTATAACAACTAAAGTTTTATAATCAGTTTAGTCAGATATTTGCTTTTCCTGGATTATTTTGTTCGTGATTTAATTAAGCAAGTATATAGCTTTACTTTGTTTAATGAAACTCGTATGTCTAAACGAATTATCCATGCAACTTAAATTCGCACATGCATTTTTCATTCTATGATTAAGACAAGTTTGCTTGTGCAATACACACGAATGAATACGTAGATGAAACAGTAGGGCAAGATTTTGTTTAACGAGCGAGCTGATTTAGGATCACATCACGAATAATCCACTTTGCCGCGAGTGGATTGTGGATAACTATATTTCATAATAGATTCAATGGATCGTGCGATATATCATGTAACGTGTAATTTCAGCATTGCGCATGTTCAATGGGCGTAATATCTATATAACATTGTGCGGTCTAGTGCAATTCGTGATAAATGCATACGACGGGGCCAGTCCGTTTTAATGAGTTCGAAACGAGCCAAATAGTTCTGCGGTACTATAAGCACCTGTTATTTCAATAAATTCAGAGACCTATTACAATCTAAATAAATTGTAGTCAACAGTGCCATTTCCATACGTAATAGCGTAATACGATCAAATGGATAACATTTCTCGTATTACCTAATTGAATTATTATAAGTATAGAAAATTTTATAGATTTATTCTATAGTATTTTTTCGCAATAATAAATAAGAAATGATGAAATTAACTAGTTAAAAAATAAATCAAAAAGTAGAAATGTCAGTAAGATAGAAAATAGGAAAAATAGTCAAATAAATTCAAAACATGTAATTGATGTAATGTTATTTAAAAAGTAATATTAAATATGAGATTAAATTATAGCGACGAATTCTAAAAGCAATAATTTGCTGAAAAAGCAATAATTTCTTGCAACAATCAACTGCGGACACTGCGGTAAATACGTTGATTTATTAATTAAGTCAACACTCTTAAAGATATAATCTTTGATAAATTCATTATATATTAATTAATATGTATAACTTGTTTCATATAAAGGCATAAATAGAATTCTAAATATACATATATTTATTTCTAAGAAACTCTTTTAAAAAAATTTAAGATAAAGCAAAATGAATTAAAATTTTAATTAATTCGCTTCTTTTATTATAACGATCATTTGTTCTCTTACAACTCGCGGTTCTCTGTGTAAAAAGTTCGAGATCAAAGTTCCGCAGTTTTTTATTTTTTTAGTTCACTGAAACCAGAACCTCAATCTAGAATCTATTTACAGATTTTGCGTCTCTGATGTTACGGAGCTTATGCAGAAAGTCGGCTGCTCACGTTAGAGCACGGGTTCAAAGCTCGGGCAAGCGATTCAAGTGGCGTCAAGTGCGCTTTCTCTGTCGCGATATCGCATAGGCCTCGAGCAACGCGAGAGTTCATTCGAAAGAAAACGAAGAGGAAGAAACGACGAGAGGCGAACGAGAGCTCGAACAGAGCCGGCTTTGTCGGGTCGTGTTCGCGCTCGCGACTCGGAATACTTCGACTTGCATTAACCGCGAAGAAAAGACGAGAACTCGCGGCGTCCTTCCCCTCGATCTCTCCCTACCCCGTTCAGAGATTCAGAGCCTTCTACTTCCCCGATGATTTTATCCTCATGTCGAATGGTCTGGTGGGTGGGCGATATGCACGAGATACTGACGCGGACTATTATTAGAGTGGCGGATAACCCTAGACATTCTCCAACTTTTCTCTCACTGAAATATACATATAACTATTTTATCTCTTTTATGAGGTTTGTGTTACGTTAAAGGTAAACATATTTCTACCGGAAAGTACATATATTGATAT